TAATAATAAAAACCTTTACATCTTACAGAAAATCTAACTGCTCATTTTAAATCTATACTTTGACTTTTAATATTTAAGTACAAAAAATATCAGATACTTTAAGACTTTTACTCAAGTAATATTCCTAAAGGAGACTTTAACTTTTACCAAAGTCATTTTTTTGGTAAGATACTTGTACTTTTACTCAACTATCACTTTGTGGTACTTTATTCAACACTGCTCCCATGAAAGAATAAAACATTAAGTTACCCAAATGTTCATTATACAAGGAAAAAAAACCACAATGCAACACTGTATTTTGTTAAAATGCCCTGAAACATAATATATCTAATATGTATCATTACAAATAAGCAGAGTCTATAAAAACATCACAGTTGCATCTTTGTGTTTCCTAAAACCAGACGGTTTTTACCTCAGATGAAGCTCTGAACCACTAGGGGGCACAAGCCTCCCACTGGAGCTTACGCTTCATTTTTCTGCCAGGATCACACATTTATGCTTTTTATGTCACAAGGTTCTCAGAATTTAAGAAGAGTTGCTGACATTTGAAACAGTGAATGTTTGCGTTCCAATGTTTAAATCTTTTTTTTGTTGTTTTGCTCACCTTCTGAGCAGCTAGGTGCAGAGCCGTTCTCTGGCTGCTGTCCGTTTTGTTGACCGAGGCTCCGGCCTTCAGCAGGATCTTGGCGCAGCACAGGCGGTCCGCCAGAACGCAGTACATTAAAGGGGTCCGCCCGAACTGGTCTCCGTGGTCCTTCAGTGAGGGATCTGCTACGCAAACCAATGGAACGGATTCAAAGAACAGTTAATACGTGTGGGAGTTTAGTGCTGCAAAACACCAAAGAGTTTTATTGGCTCAGTTTCCAGATTTCCCAGCAAAATTAATTTGATAATAGTCCGTGTAATCAATGTCATTGTTTATATAAATTCATCCACATCGATATTTTTAATCAACACATGCATTTTATGAACTTATCTTTGAGTTTATTAAAAGTTTCAACAGGTCAGAGCTGCAGTTTGCACAGATAAGAAGGGCTGCAAGGAGTCAGCAGAGAAAAAAAAACAATAATAATAAAAACATGTTTGTTTTTTTGTTAAAGCTGCTAAATTCACATTAGTAGATTAGACTGGTTGTCTGTCTGCTACAAAAATCTGTGAATAAATGTTTGAGGAAACTTTTAGACCAGAATCTGAGCTCATATTAGTTAACACCAGTGTTGTGGTGACTTTTGTTCCCCCTTTGAGATCTCACTCTTCACCAACGTCAGATTTCCTCTTAGTCTTTTTTGTTTTTAAGCACAAATTTAAAAAAAATATCCTCGTTCCTTTTAAGCCCTTTTTAATCCATTGTACCAGGAAACACACAACCTGATGGTTGCACAATCTAACTGATAGGAGGTTTCTTAGGTGGGGAGCAGATCTGTCAGGGGGAACACAACTCAACACAACACCTGTGTGTACGCTGCTTTACTGCCTCCGCTGTTTAAACACATTTGTTTATATATAGTTATAGGCAAAATGAATTATTAAAAAGCCCAACAGATTTATATGTATTACAAAAAATAAATGAAACTGATGTGGAAAGTGCATGCTGAGTTAAATGAACATTTGGTAATGTTACAGTCAAGTTTTAAATAAACAGCACAAAAAAGTAAGATTTGTGTTTGGTAGATTATTTCTTTGTTGTAACAATGTTTCTTGACAACAAATCTTGTGTTACTGGAAAGTCTGTTAATTTCCCTTTTAAATGGTGCCACATTTGTAAGGAACATGCATTTGTGGGATGAGCAGCAGGGCTGAGTATGTGGGCTGCGCACATGAAAAATGAGCCAAATCTTCTCTGCCAAACAGCTGATTTACTGTTGACAGTTGTTTTGATCAGGTGCCCGCTGTGCTGTAAGATTTATTGCCATAAAGCATTGTTACAATAAAGACATAGGCTGTGTCCAAAACGGCAGGACGGGTCCTCCGAAGGCCGAATTTGTCAGCCGCATACATCACAGCCCCGTAACAAAGGACGTCCAAAACGGAAGACTCCTCCGATGCGGCCGACAAATACGTCCTTCCTTTGGCCCGAATCGAAGGACAGGTCTGATGGATCCTTCCCGGCCCAGCATATCCCATAATGCATTGCAGCCCGACCAGAGATTTTTTTATGCTAGTAATGGCGGACGAAGCGAGAGAAAAAAAAATATGTTTTAAATAAAAATATGGAGATATAAAAATTAAAAAATTTTAGTGGTTGTAATTCTAATACTTTTATCATTTGTATGGACA